CGGCGACCTTTCAAAAAAGGGCTGCCTTTCCATTTTCTGTTCGCAATGATATTTCCTCTTTTGATCTCCAGTATCGGACAGACGCTGATTCTTCCGCCCTGCTTTGTTCTTTGACAGGGAGAAGTGCTTTACCTTTCGCCAGTTTTATCATAGCATCAGAAATCATGGCTGACGGATTTCTGTCTCCTCGCCTTCTGCTTCTACTGGGTGACTTAAATTTAGCAGCAGCATAAAACTCGATAAAAAAAAAAAGGCCAACCATGCAAAGCAACAATGAGATACAGCAACCATATCATTGTCATTCGAAAGCCGATATTGAAACTCTCAGGGCAGATAGTATTGTCTGCCAGGCGGTAAACCTTACAAACAAGCCGACATCAAACACTTCAAAATACCATTATCATGTCGCGTCATTTCGTCTGCAGTCTCATAAAAGAAGGTGAACATTACTTAAAAAAATACGTGAATTTAAGTAGTAGAAGATGATGTTAGGGACATTTTGTAAATGAACATGACCGTGTTCGGATCTTATTTCCAGTAAAATTAACTAAACAGTGAAAATTTCGATTTTAGAGAGCTGAAAGTAAAGAGTACCTCAATTTTTTTCCAAATGTCTTGATCGACACATTTGGTTTTCTCTCGTCACGTCAAATTAAAGCTCGTAAGAATGAGATAAAAGTAAAATTGGTACAGTTTTATTTTAATTTTCATGTTGACTAACGGTTGGGTTCTTTTAATTTATTTTATTTTACTTTATTTTATTTAGCTTCAAAAACTCCCAGCACCACGTACCAGCAGGCGCACTAAGTCTGGTCAAATATAGTGCTTCATACAAGTTGATTTTAATTGATTGACGCGTGTCGGAATGAATTTAATTGGTTTTATGTGTGGAAATTAAAACAGCCACCATACAACGAATTCATAAATGGCGTTACGAGGGCATGAAAACGAGGCGGGTGAGGAAAGAATCCCTAAATGGATATTATGGCTTTATACATAGTAATTTTAGGTTAGAATAATTTTCAGCATTCTTCCAGGAAGTTTATTTTTAATAAGAAACTTAAGTGTTCTATCTAACTGGCTTAATTATGGAGAAATCCTTTATTGTTTCGTTTTTCGCTCATCTTTTTAGCTACTGTGAGTAAAATCTGAAATCTCCAAAATTTGCTCTGGTGAAAAAAGATAATAAGTGTGCAGACAGCATTGTTTTTCGTAGCTCCAAGTTTTAAATGAATAGAAACTTCTTGGAGATGGATATTTGAAGGATTTTTGACAGCAAAGAACTATAGGAACAATTTTCAGTGGTGCTATCACAGGAATAAGAGACATAATGCTCTTCACTTTTGTTATTAGCTTCATAGCTCGGCAAATGCAGAGTGATATAAAAACAAATTC